TATTAAAGAATGGAATTAAAAAGTCAAGTTTTCCTCAAATCGTATGCATCTTCCACTGATATCTCTATTTTATATAGCGACCAGATTCTAAAATAAATTTCTAAAATTCGTTTTAGCAAAGTTGAGAAAATGATTCCAAAACGATGCAAAGGGTAAATACGCTCAAAATAATAAGACAAAAAAAATTAAGGAAAACTAAGGTATACTAAACAAATTGAAAAATTAAGTCTATATCTTGTTTTAGCTATGAATAAGTCAAATAAAAAATTGTAGAACGAGTAAATATCTGGTACCAAAAGTAAAAATTAATAAAATTAATAAAAGTAGAGTAAAATTTGCGTTTAAAGCAAAACAAAGGTAAATCATTAAATTAAAAAATAACCTTTTGAGTCTCCGAATTAGGCTCGCATGAATGGTTTACGAAACGAGCCCAATTTCCTTTAGAGCCAGCGTCAATAAAACGATCCGGGCTGACTGCCATGAAGTAGTGGTGTACCCGGCCAAGACGTTCATAATGACGTACGCGACGACGAAACTCATTAAAGTCTATCATTTCGCCAACGTACTCAATAATAAAAGAACCTCTGAAATAAAATAGTTAAAACTCAATATGAATATGAAATAAAATGAAGCGAAACTGAAATAAATTATCAAATGTGAAGAGAAAATATTAGAAAAAAAATTTCATATATTTGAACCCATTTGATTCATTAGAAGGAATAATACAATTTATCTTAGTAGCAAATACTGAGAAGTAGCCCAAAATTTGTTTGGCAGTAACTAGCAAAGTAAACAATGCCTATTGCAAAAAAAGAAAATTATAAGAATTCGAATACAACCTTGATAATTATAGGAAAGCTGATTAATAAAGCATAATCAGATCCAGATGAGTAGAAAAATTGTAAAGAACCATGATGCGGTTCAAAATATAATTGGGATACATTTTCTTAAATCAATTCCAAAAATTATCAAAAATTGGACATATGTCTGACGCGACCATCTTCGCTATTCCATTGGATAGCACTAGTGAAGGATACACGTTGATTAAACTCGAATTGGTGATCTTATCTCACCTATGAATTAGGTTAATTACAAATAAACTAATGGTATAAGCGATTACATTAATAGATTTGAAATCAATAATCAAATAATAAAAGTTTATAGTTAAATGTCAAACAAGGCATTTTATAATAATACAACACTTCTGCTTAATAGCAGTTATAAAGAAAAACCTTTGCATATATATAAAGATTGTGAATAGTTAATTCTTGGTTTGGTCCATTTAGAAAGAATAAAAGCCTTCTCATCTACAGTGAAGACTAAAAGCAATAATAAAAAGGGGAGAGTGAAGAGTTAATTATTATAAGAGGTAAGATATGGTTTTATAAATAATAAAAGCCATCGAATACTCTTACTTTGAAATCAAGTCAAGCGCTTTCAAGCCCCAGCCTTTATCAGGCCCGGCATAGAAGGGGCGCGAAGGCGCATACCACCTCTGCTTAAAGGCTCTATTTGAGCAGCCTTCACCCGCAGGGCAGCGTGGGCTGCATTCGATGTTAATTGCCCGGTTGATGCAGCCCGGACCACATGAAAAAAGGCCAGCTGCCAATTCGGTAGACGAGGGTTGGGCACAGTCACAGATCCAACGGCGAGTTCCCCCTCCAACAGCAGTACCAACACTGGAACCGGTAGAGACGCCATCAGATGCTGAGGAGCCAATTGCACTTTGATCTTCAAGCCGACTTGTGTCGTTCTCAAGGATATGCTGATAGCAGGGACGAGGTGCATCCGCTAATTCTGAGAAGAAGTCTATATGGGGTGTATCAGATTCCAGCCTATATTCAAAAAGCAAGAACTTTACTTAAAAGAGCGTAAATTATGTGAACAATAAGATGAAAAAATAAACAAGAAGCCAAGAGAAATAACAAGAATATAATGAATGCAAACCAAGTGCATTAACTTGATATGAATTTGTAAAGAGATATCATTCATAATATAATGCAAATCAGAAAAAATTTCCTTTAAGGGCTTTGAAAACATTTAGTATCTGTAAAAAGATCTTTACTTTGAAACCTTCGAAATGCTAGTCAGCCAATCGCTGTGAAATTAAGAGAAGCATTATCTCTTAGCAGGGCGGAGGTTAGACTACAAGTATTATAAATATAATGAAATAAGAATGTGCGATTTGAAATGCAGATTGGATTTTCATGTGATTTAATGGCCATTACCAGGAATTAAAAAAATAGCTTAATAGACAAAACAGCCAATTAAGAGACGTTATCACGTGAATTATAGGTCTTGATGAGTCTGCAGATATACTCAATCTAGCTTTTTCGAGAAACTTAAATGTGATATAAATAGACAATTCACTACAAGATTTTACCATTATAAAAGAAAGGAAATATTTCGTAGAAATAACATCTAGTCTAGTATGCTTAAATATTTAACGACAAACGTCAAAAATACTATTAGGCCACATAAATTATGTAAAGACAACTCTACGGGATGAATATATCACAGCATACCTCAGAGTGAGGAACAAAGAAAGAAAATTTAAAAATTCAAGAAGTACAACAGTTGATAAACCTCTGGGGGCTCGTGTAGCAATGAATGAGCATCACAGAACTAAAGTTTGAAAATATTTTTTTATTAAAAGAGATGTTAGCGAAATCTTTGATAAAAAATCATCTGGTTATTTGCTAGATAATCTTC